TTTCGACCATCCTGATTTCAAGGGACAGCAGTACATGCTGGAAAAAGGAGAGTATCCCGACTTCCAACGCTGGAATGCCCACAATGATCACATGGGCTCCTGCAAGCCAATCAAAATGGTGAGGATCAAAACACTTTATGAAAAGATGAAGTGTACTTCTAAGAGAAACCGTTTTCACCCAGAAATAAATTTCACAAACAATTACAGAGAAACGGCAAGTGACACATTGAATTGAGTGTGACGTTGAAGTAGAAAAACTGAAATGGTATTTTCATGTAGAGCATACTCCAATAACCTTTATTTACAACTTTGAAAAATCATTTTTATAATGTCATGTTTTTGAAAAAAAAATATATTTTTTAAAACTGTTGCATGACATCATTAAATTGTTTAAATCAAGTGGAGTCCAGATTTAAAAAAAATTAAGTTTTGCATAATTTTTTTTTCATATACATTTTTATTAACCTTTGACAGTCCATTTGGGATCATTTATCAGTAAATTGCATTGTGCATTGTGGGACACATTGTCAAGGTTATTATAGTAAACCAATACTACACCTAAACCCATAAAACATTTTCTTTACTTGAAATAAATTATTTAAAAAACTTAAACTACATTTATTTCAGCTACACTAAAAAAAAAGGCTGTAGGATTTATTTTGAAATCATTTTCACTTCCAAAATTTCCAGTAAATTTCATAAATAATTGCAAAAAGAAATGTATTGTAATAGCAAGTTGAATTAAGCAGAAGCCGAAAGACTGCAACTGTATTTTTATATAATCTTGATTTATTTACAACTCTAAAAATCCAAGTTGCCAACATTTCTCATTTTCATTTACTGTAGTTTAACTTTATGTATAAAATTGAAGAGAGACACAAAATTGAAATAAAAATGTAAAAATATAGAATTAGAAAATACTTAAAAGTTAAAAATATATAGACATATATTTTGAAAATTATACTAATCACTGTACTCTACTCTATAGAGAGTGATTAGATTAGTTAGGTCAGCAAGTATTCAACGCACAAAGAAAATCTGCATCCTGCAAGCAACATAGTAAGCAGTCCATTTCATGCTGTCAAGGGTCAAACTTCTGACCTCTGAGATTTTCAGTCTTGACTGTATGATACTCACCTCTTTTATAATGTGCTTGTCTGTGTCTGTCAGCACGGGGAGCAGTACAGGATGGAGCTTTATGAGGGTCAAAACTTCACCGGTCAGTGTGTTGAACTGTGTGACGACTGTCCCTTCCTCCAGAGCACCGGATTCAGCAAGAACTGCTTCAACTCCATTAAAGTCTATGGAGATGGAGCGTAAGTTCTGCAAGGCCAAACATCAAGCGATGCTTTATCAGTAATCAAGTATTTTTCCAATGTCCCAAAAACTTTGAATAGTTAAAAAAATGCTCAGAATAAGATAAAGCTGTTTAACCTCTACCGTAGCAAAACTGTAAGTTGAGCAGAAGCTCAGAATCTTTCATTGCTAAGTTATTTGCATCAAGTTTAGCATATTAAATGTATGCAACGTGATGCATTTGAGAAAACGCATTTTGCATTTTTTTTATAACTGTAAATAATGCAATTGAAATGATGTACAAATGTAACAATGGTCATCAATTTTTAATGTCATTCATATAGAAGAATCAATTGAAAACAAAATAATATCTCGCTTTTTTCCCTCTTCCATTTTAGTTGGGTCATGTACGAGGAGCCGAACTATCGTGGCCGCATGTACATTGTGGAAAGAGGAAACTACTGCTTATTTATGGATTGGCAAGCTGAGAATCCCAACATCCAGTCTATCCGCAGGGTGGTTAACTATTTCTAAACTGTTACATCCCAAAACAGCCTCGCTCTCAAAGGAAAATCAATGTTTCAAAGTATACTTACCCCAAATAATAAATCAAATGAACCTGAACTTTGATTTACATTACTGAATCACACAGCTATGTGCTTTTTATCTTTATGGAATTTCAATGATGAATCAGTTATTTGAAAAAAAATGCAATTAGCACAGAAATATTCTTGTATGTTTTATTTTGTATTTGTACTGAGGCAATGAGTTGAAATAAAAGTGAATTGTGAAAAAGTTGCTATTCTCTCTCACTCAATTCAATTCAATGTGTGCTTTATTGGCATGACAGTTGTTACAATGTATTGCCAAAGCATAGGGTTTACATTGAATCTAGAACAGATATGTATTTAAAAAATAATAAATAAATACATGCATGTATATATAATTAAACAAAATAGAACAAATCAATTCTATGAATTCAATGAACAATTTAAAATTCAGTGTGTGTGTGTGTGTGTGGGTGTGTGTGTGGGCACATCACTGATTTGTTGACTCCTCCCTCTTTTTTGCGACAGGCATCAATATATCTTACTGCTAGTAATGCTATTTCAATTTGGATATATTTTTTGATGGCATAAAGGGTCCTTCTTGCTTTCTCTTTTACACTGAACAAAATTAAAAATGCAAAACTTTTGTTTTTGCC